GACTCCTTCGAATGGTCTTTCTCGACTGGTTTTTCAACCAAAAATGTTTGTTCAGCCATGAAGGCTTCGAACATTTCTTCCACCACCATTTCTTTCTTTTGGCCTACGCCAATTTCTTCTTCTGTCTCGCTATCACTCTCTGTCAGAGCTTTCTCTAATCCTACTAAGCTGGACTTCTCTCTAGCTTTCAGCTCAGAATGAACTTTGGCCAACTGTTCTTTACTGCAAACCACTTTGCTTTGTAGAGTTGGTTTTGGATATGGTCTGACTTTGGATTCTTCTTTCCTTCTATCTGGACCAATGAAGAGCTCTCTCCACTTTCTTTCATGTCTTTTTGATACTGAGTGTACCTACGCTGAATCTTCCTCCTTTGTGATATAGAAATTATGGGGACCATACCTGGTTCCTTTGTTTTTGGGTGTTTAAGTAATACCTAATTATTTGGGGCCACCAAAGGAGGCTTGACCATCCTACCTTGGTTTCCAGTATCTCTTTGAATAGACATTTCCCTAGGTTTGTTCTGCATCACAAACCAATCTGGAACTCCAGGTACCAACGAACTTACTGACCCAGATGTTGAACTGTCATTTTCTTCCTTCGAAGCCATCTTCGAAGCTGGCTGTGAAGGCAACTGCTTGGCCCTGACTTCATGTTTTGAGCCTGATTCAGGCCTTCGATGAAGGTGGCCACTTTCTGTTCTGCGTGAGACTGGTCTAGGGGGCCAATCTCTGGCTTTGACCCCATGACCTGAACTCTTCTCCAGTCTCCTTTCAGAATGACTGCTCTCCATTCTGTAATAATTAGGTGGCCTAGACTCATATAAGGGCCTCTTGCCTTTAGAATGCATTTTATTGACTGTTGGTTCAACCGTTAATGGCTTCTGCCTAACACCAGATGGATATGGCCTTTTCTTATAAGCATTGATTGGTTTAGGACGTCTCTGCACATTCCTGTAATATTGCTTCCTATCAATTGGAAGCCCTTTCAGCCATTTGTAGCTCAGTCTGCACCTGGGACACATCCTTTGCATTACAGCTGCCTCTAAAGAATCGTCATCCAGTGCTTCTTCATCAGAGTCTTCCCTTTGGTGTGGGAAACCTTATCCAATAGCTGGCAGATCTCTAGTGTCCTTCTTGATGGTTGTTTGGTTGGCAACATGCATCTACACATTGACTTCTTTCAATTCTTTTAAAGACAAGTTCTGGAAGTCTGACATAATGACATTGGCTGCCACCTCTCCAACTTCTGGAAATGGATTACTATCGATCCCCATGGCCTTTTCTGCTTTGGCTGGGAATTTCAAACTTCTTTTCTGAATTTGTTCTTGAATCCTATCTCGAAAAACAATATAGTTTTTAGTCGAGTGAGACCAAGAGTTATGCCATTTACAATATACTTTTCCTTTAAGTTCATCTGGAGATGAAATTTTGACTCCTTTTGGTAACTTCAGGGAGTTGACCGCAAGCAAATGATAAAAAATGTCATCTGCCTTTGTTAAATTGAAAGAGTACTTCCTATGATGGTCTTTCTTTTTAAACTGCTGGTCAATTGTTGTGTCCTTATGAATTAATGCCTCACAGATTACAGGTTCTTTCCTGGTCTATTGTCGTATCTTTATGAACTAATGCTTCACAGATCATAGGCTCCTTTCCCACAATCTCTGCTGCATCAATCTCATAATTAGGATCTTTGTAGTATGTCCTATATGATGCATTATTTCGATCTTGTTCTTCTTCTAGTAAAGCTTCATATCTAGATACTTTATAAGTCAGTTCCACTAAATCTCTAAATTCTGTTGAATCAAACTTCTTTCGAAGCCTGAATTCTAGGCCATTTTGAGCCAATCTTACGAATTCTGGCTCTGGCAAGATGACTCTACATTTATTTCGAGCCCTTTTAAATCTGGCAATAAACTGAGTAGCCTTCTCTTCAGGCCTTTGACTCAATCTTGCCAAGTCTGCCATGGAAACCTCTGGCTCCGATTAGAAGAATTGGGCATGAAATGCCTCTTCCATTTGTTGCTAAGTTTGGATTGAGCCAGGTGTAAGATTAATGTACCATACAAATGCTCTCCCAGTTAGAGAGTTTGGGAATAGTCTCAACTTCATATAGTCATTATTAGTAAATTCACCGCATTGAGCAGCAAACCTAGCAATATGCTCTACTGTTGACTAGTTTTCATTCCCATAAAAAAGGGCAAAATCTGGTATCCTGAAACCTCTTGGGTATTCATGTATCCTATCTACCCATTCTGGATATGGTTTTCTATACACAGGAGTCTGGACCCCTCGAGCCATCGGTACACACATCTCTTTAACAATGTCAGTAATTTGGTCCCAAGGGATCATATTTTGCACCTGCTAAACCACTACTGGAGGGACAAACACAGGATTTGGTGGATAACCTTGTGCCTGCGGTCCTCTTGGTCCATAAGGTGGTATATTTGGGACTGGTTGTCCCTGTGGTGCAGGTTGCTGTTGGGAGTGTGAGTAAGAGTCTGTCCTACGAAAGGACCTGCGAAAGGTGCTGGAACAGGTGTTGTGTCCCTTCCATTTGTAGGAAAACCTTCCCACTCCCTGGGTATAAATTCAAATAAGGGGTTAGTGAACCCCCTTGTGCCATGTATGGCTTCGAACATGGGATTGTGAGCCATTCTTAGGCCATTTTCTTGTGCTGGGCCAGATCCACCAATTTACATGGCTTCACTGTTAAGCACTGAGGCATTTTGACCTGCTACAGGCCTTGAAATAGGTTCGTACCAAAAGTGAGGTGATGGTCTTTCATAGTTCTGATTACTAGTTTGACCATTAGAATGTCCATTAACTTGCATAGGCTGTTTATCTCTAGCCAATCTTTGCTGAGGGACATTTAAAACTTCCTCCATGTTTCTTGTGTTTGTTGGTTGGTGGTTATTCATTCGATCCAAAAAGGATGTTGCCCACCTTTCCATTGTGTTCATTAATTGCTGTCCCATGGCATCTACTAGGCCACCCCATGGATTTATTGGCTGAGTAAATGGAACAGTAGATGGTCCAATTCCATGGCCTTGTCCAATATTATGAACATATGGTGCTTGTTCCGAAGTACTGGTCTGTTCGACCATAGGTTCTGATGAACTGGGTGCCTCCACAGGGTGTGCTATCATATTATCCTCTAGATTAGGCACTTCTACCTCTCCTTCCATGCCTTCTTCCAGGTGTTCATTTTCTCCTTGTCTCCTACGTCTAGCCATTTCAATTAGTCCCACTGGGCGTGCCAAAAATATATGTTGGCTTTTTTGGCTTTCGAAGGTTAATTTTGTAATTGCCAACGTGCCAACAAGGATCAATCAGTCCTTACAGAAATTTAATTGCCAACCAATTATCAAACGATTGTGTTTTAGTTCTTTCAGCCTCAATGAAGAGGACTTTTACTGGTGGCTTGATTTAGGAGAATTAAGCAAAATATCAATCAAATGAAGAACAACTGAAACATTTCATTAGAATGAAAAACTTACAATGATCCAAACTCAGCCTCATAGAGGTTTACAGTGACAACCTACTTGAAACTACTCCTATGAACGAAGTGCAGTGCAGGAATTTAAAGTACAGGAATGTAAAGAACAGGAAATGTAAAACTGGAAAGAAAAATAAGTAAAGTAGAATAAAACTGATTTTTTGGATTTGAGTTTGGGGGTTTTTCTGGGGCCTTCTCTGCTATTTATACTTATCAAGGATGACCATCAAACTGTATTTCAAACCGTCGAACTGCTCCTCCATGATCATTGATCATGTTGCCTTATAAGTAGTTCCACTTTGCCATCACTTGCAGTTAGGCTTCCCTCATAAATTTGAATTTGAATGTGAGTAACCGTTGAAGCCACATCACTTTGCATCTCTTTGCTGATCCAATCCTACTCAGATCTCGTAAGAACCAATATTAACTGCCATGTGTACGATCATGATTGAAGACTTAAACATTCTTCTAGTATTGCCCTTACTCTGCCACGTGTTGAATTGTAATTGGCTTATACAAAATATGTAGCCAACAATATCATTAAAATCTTAGGTGTCTTTTGGGAACCAACTTATAAGCCAACTTATTGACTCATTTGAGTAACATTACCTCTCTATTTTTTTTGCATATTTTTTCGTAATAAGCTAAAAAGCCAGCTTATAAGCCAAACATACTAAAACTCATCTCGTTAGCTTGGCTCGTTAATTGAATTGGTTTAACATTTATTTAAATAATAGGATAAATATATTATTTATCTATTAAATAATGTAAAAATATGTATAAAAATAGGATAAATATGTTATTTATATATTTAAATAAGAAAAATGTAAATAATAGTTAAATTTATTTATATATAAATAATAGCTAATTATAAATAATACATTTATATAATAGTGGTGGTAGATATTATTATTTTGATAAGATATTGACTTTTTTCTGGTATGTTTATAGACATCGTATATATAATTGTATAATCAAAGTATCAATTGTAATTTTAATCTCATATGTAAGTATAAATTTATAATTTCTTTGGCTCGTTATCGCACGTGAATAACACGAACTCAGTTCGTTAAATTTTTATTGAGTCGAACTTAAACTCGTTAAAATTTTAATAAATAAGCTCAAACATATTAACACTCGGCTTGACTCAACTCACTTAGAGCCTTATGCTACATATAGACTCTACAACACATCATTCAATCTCTACCACACATAAATTTTAGGCACATCCCAAACTTAATATTTTGTATAAATTGGAAACTACCTACATAAATGTGTGATGTTGTTGGTGCCAATGAAAACTTGGACCTTTTTCTACTCCCTTTGAATATTCTATCTTGAAGGCTATTTGTGTTTGATAAAATTAAAAATTAAATGTTGAACTAATTGAATTGAAAAATTATTTGATAAAAATTAATGTTGAAATTAAAACAAGATGAAATTTGAAATTCATTTTTATTTTTAAATTTTCTCTTTCAATATGAATATATTGTGACGATGGTGAGGTGGCGGAGGCGATGATGACAATGACAATGATAGTGGTGGTTATGGTGCTAATGATGATGGTGACAGTGGTGGTAGTGTACGATGTGGAGGGATAATGGTTGTGGTGATAGTGGAAAGGTGGTGTAGTGGACGCTGTGATGGTATTTGTGGTGATTTGATGGTGATGGTGATGGTGGTGGTGTAATAGTGATGGTGGTGGTTGAAGCGACAACTATGGTAATGGTAAAGATGGTGATGCAAGTGGAGAGTTGTGGTAATGGTAGGGGTGACATCTGTTGCTCTGATTACCATCCCCTTCGTGTTTTGGTTGGTGAATTAAAATTTATCCCTTTTATGCACCACTATGAATTATATATTTCATTTGTAGATAATGGACATGCTTTCTGTGCCTAGCATGGGTTATGTTTGCTTTTTTTTTCACTCTGACCCTATCAGACCATCCGATGAGCGAGGTTCACTTGGGTTGTCCACCTAATTTATCTGGGCCACAAATCTCCCGTGTCCTCTTCTCACTCCCACCTGTTGAGCCCGTGGATAGAAAATATATGGATGCTTTCAAAGATGCAGCAACTTCAACACACCAGGCACACATACCCCCACACCCTTGCACTATACCAACCTATTTTAATATTTTAACATTCACTATCCTAGCCCACAGGTTCCGACACCCCCCACTGGATTTATTTTCTTTTCATCATCACTTTGCTGGACACTGTGCACATTCTCATTCTCTTTCTTATTATTTTTATTATTATCACATGGGCGTGTTCCCCCTCTTTCAAAAAAAAAAAAAAAAAAAAAAAATTTAAAAAAAATTTAAAAATTTCAAAAAACTTTTCTAAAAACAAAAAAAAAAAAAAAAAGACAAGAAAAATGACCTTTTTCTAAAAATTTAACTCTAGTTTTAAATTTTTTTAAATTGTTCTATCAATCAAATCTACGAAAAAATTGATAAAATTTTATAAAAATAATAAAATAGTAAGATGATAAATATTATCTTTTTACACAAAAATATTATACTAATTAAATAAAATAATATAGTAAGATGATAAATATCATTCAAACTTTAGTGTCTTTCTACTAAATCGACAACCATATGTTTATGGTATGTGTGGGAGCCGAATGTTCCAGGGGGAGTAAGGCCGGATACAGATATGAGATCAGCCAAAGATGGAATTTGTACTCAGCATTGATCCTAGTCGACACCAAAGCCGAATAGGATAATCGGCTTTTCGACTAGCAAAACAAGAGCCGAACAGATAGACGTGCAATGGATCAAGGGTGGGCCTGACCCTAAGGCCCAAGGAAAAGGATATAAATAGAGGAGCATCAACCAAAGAAAGGTATGTGAGAATTAGTATGTTTAACTTAAGATACAAGCAACAAAGAGAGTATACACTGACTTATCCGTCAGAGTGCTAATTCCGACACCCCCGACCGGAGTGTTTATTCCATTTCAGGTTACTAGCTGAGGATCTCGAGCATCCCATTGGATCCAAAGAGTATTTCTAAACCACTTCTCCACAATTGGCACCGTCTGTGGGAATACTCCAGCACATCCATGGCGGGCGTGACGAAAGATCCTCCGGCAGTCGCTGACAACCTTACGCCACGAGTTGATACCACTCCAAGAACCATGCTGGGACCAAAAAACATTACTGCACGAAGAGCCTTGAACTTCGATTCTGCTGATGAAACAATGCAAGCGATTATGGATCAGGCGAAACAAAACGAACAGAGGTTAGAGAACATGATGGCTGAGAACGAGCACCTTCGACAGGATTTGGCCTTGGAGGTGGAAAAATCCCAACAGGCTGTGTGCCATGATCTGGCACAACCTCTGAGAAAGGATGGTCGACGACCTTGAGTTCGGAGACAAGATAGTGGCAGTGATTCTGACTCCTCATCCCCAGAACCCAAAAAGAAAGGGCGAGTCGAAGTCTCCAATTCTTCTGAAGGAAGTCTGCGTGCACGGAATAAGAAAAGAGTAAATGATTCAGATGAAGAGGACTAACATGACCCCTTTGTGCAATGGATCGCAAGGGTAGTACTACCCAAAAAGTTCAATGCTCCATCGTTCACCCTATACGATGGAAAATCGGACCCCACTGACCATATCCATCATTATAAGCAAGCCATGACGCTGCATGCAGATGACGAGGCTCTTATGTGCCGAATATTTTCGAGCAGTTTAGGACCATTGGCTGTCAGATGGTATTACAAGTTGGAACCGGCATCGATTAAGAGCTTCCATCAATTACAGAAATCCTTCAGGGCAAGATTCATCACCAATGAGGTCTAGCCGAAGTAAGCTGACTCTCTCTGGGCAATGCAAATCCAACCAGGGAAAACCTTATGAGCATATTCGGCGCGCTATTGGGAATGCTTTAATCTTGTGGATGACGCCTGCAACGACTCCATGGCCATCACCGCCTTTGAAATGGGGTTGCATCCTAATAGTGCCCTCCGCAGTTCCTTGACCAGAAGGCCCCCCAAAATAGTCTGGTCGTTGATGAAGAAAGTCGAGGAATACTGCAAAGTGGAAGATGACGCCCTGCGGGTTAAAGCCGAGCACAAGGCCAACAAGATGGACCCTTCTGAAATCGTTCAACCGATAAATTCTTTACCACCGCGGAGCCCTGAACCGCGGAATCAGGCTAAACGAGACAGAAGACAGGATTCGCGCCGACCAAATGACCAATGACCAATGTTCCCATCGAGCTAGTGAACAACTTCAAGTGGATAGCAGGCGCACAAGAAATATACAGAGTTATCAGAGCTGATCAGCATGGTTATATCTAAAGTTCAACACCTTCCGTTCTTCAAATGGTTATCCAAAATGGTAGGACCTCCCAACACGAGGAGACAGGATAGGAAGTGCGAATATCACAAGGACCACGGCCATGATACCGAGAGTTGTTATGTGTTGAAGGATCACCTTGAGGAATTAGTACAAGATGGTCGGCTTAAGCAGTACGTCTGAAAAGACAACGCAACTAAAACAATAGCTTTATGGCAGGATTCACCTTCACTCGGCGTAATCCATATGATATACAGCCGGCCAACGGCATCTGCGATACATACAATTCAATCGAATCTTAAACCCCAAAAGCAAATCACACCAGCAAAACGGCTCCATGAAGCTCTGAGTATTACCTTTGACGATTCTGATTTGATCAGCGTAACGCTCCCCCACATCGATCCATTGGTCATCAAACTACGCGTAAACCGATTCATCGTTGAACGCGTTCTCATTGACCAGGGGAGTACTTCAGAAGTTATGTACTACAAGACCTTCATCAAACTTGGGTTCACCGAGTCGGACGTGTATCCAGCTCATTATCCGTTATTCGGCTTCAATGATAATCCAGAATACCCGTTGGACAAAACCATATTACCAGTTCGAGCGGGCTCCCGAATAGTGGATGTGGAATTCTTGGTTGTCATGCTGCCTTTGCCGTATAATCTCATCATGGGACGAACTTGGCTGCATACCATGTATGTCGTGCCAGGCACCTATTATCAACTGCTCCGCTTCCCGACTGAACGCGGCATTGAACAAATCTGTGGTTCCTAGAAATCGGCACAAACATGTTATCTTCTTGCCGCAAAGACACTAAGAGAGCTAGAAGTGAATTCTATTGAGGTGTCAGATCGAGAGAGCCTTGATGATGTTGGACGGCTCCCAAGTGAAAAGGCCACGGAAGCCCTGGATCGAGTTGAAATTGACGAGAATCCTGATAGGTTCTTCATGGTCGACACCTCCCTGAATAAAGTCGACAGACATCAGCTAATTACCTTCTTACTCGGCAACCTTGATGTATTTGCATGGTCACAGTATGAGATGCTGGGGGTAGATCCATGTGTTTCTCAGCACCGTTTAATTATTGACCCTAAATGTAAGCCGATTATTCAGAAAAGTCGACAGTCAACCGCAGAACACACTGCTGCTGTTGTTGAAGAAGTTGACCGGTTGCTTGATGCCGGGATAATTCGGGAAGTGACCTATCCTACATGGCTGTCGAATACTGTGGTTGTAAAGAAGAAAAATGGGACTTGACGTGTCTGTGTGGATTTCACGGACTTAAATAAAGCTTGCCCCAAGGATTGTTTTCCCCTCCCCAGAATTGACCAACTCGTAGACGCCACGACACGTCATCAACGTATGAGCTTCCTTGATGCCTACAGAGGCTACCATCAAATTTCTATGCATCCAGAGGACTAAGACAAAACTGCATTCCTCACCTTAAGAGGAACCTATTGCTATAAGGTTATGCCTTTTGGGCTGAAGAATGTAGGGGCAACTTACCAAAGACTAGTCACTACTATGTTCAAGGAGCAACTCGGCCGTACTATGGAAATGTACATTGACGATATGGTGGTCAAGTCCAAAGAAGAGTAAACTCATTTTGCTGATCTGAAGAGACATTTGGCATTTTATGCAAGTACAAAATAAAGCTGAACGCTTCTAAATTTGCGTTTGGGATCGGATCCGGCAAATTCCTCGGCTACATTGTCAACCCTCGAGGAATCGAAGCCAACCTGAGGCAAATCACAGCAACCCTGGAACTCGGCTCCCCTCAATCAGTGAAGGAGGTTCAAAAGTTGATGGGGATGACCGTCGCACTCAATAGGTTCATCAGTCATTCCATAGATCGCTGTCGACAATTCTTTCATACCCTACGGCAGGGTAAAGCTTTTGAATGGACCTCTGAGTGCGTAGCTGTTTTCAACGGCTTGAAGATCAGTTCCACTCTTGACAACACCTTCAACAGGTGACCCGCTGATTTTATATCTAGTAGTTTCCGACCGGACCGTTAGCGCCGTACTGTTAAAGGAAGAGCTTGGGAAGCAGCGGCCAGTGTATCATGTGAGCAAGGCAATGGTTGAAGCCGAAACACGTTACCTTCCGTTGGAAAAACTCATCCTAGCCCTCGTCATGGCAGCAAGAAAATTGATGCATTACTTTCAGGGGCATATCATCAGGGTACTAACGGACTACCCCCTCCGGTCAGTACTCCGTAGTGCAAAAGCATCAGGGCGCGTTTCAAAGTGAGCTTTCGAACTCGGCTAGTACGATATTCAGTTTCTTCCTTGAACCTCAATCAAGGGGCAAGTGCTTGTCGACTTTGTGGCCAAATTCACTGGGGGTCTTGCCGACTTCAAGTCTGATCAAACTCAACC